CATTTAGTCATGTCATTACCTAAAAATTGAGTTTTAATTACAAACAGATTACACAACACTGCTTTCCTTATGTAATGACCAAAAATAGTTTAGCTCATTACCTAAGCCACAAACAAGTTCGCGAACAAATCATTACATTTTTACGGATCAAACAAAAGGGGCTTGAAAAGAAAAAAACCAAAAGGTTGTCTTCTCCAATTATACAATCGGAAGAACGCCTATCATTCAACCTAAATCACTATGTCGCCGACCATTGTGATGTTGCAAAACACCTATGCGATGCTTCCTTAACAAATGCTTAAAAATTAGATTTTTTAATGAAAAAAACCTTAAACCAAAAATTGCAAAAAAACGAAACGCAAAAACACTATTGATATACGAATTTTAATCCCGAATTAAGGCCGAATTTGAGAATTTATCAACCATTAGCAATGATTTTAGGAATGGGTGGCTAATCTATGACATAAATGAAGAACATTAATGGATATTGATGAACAAGATGAACAATTTTAATTTTAGGGTTTTTTATTAAGATTATATTTTCGAAAAGTAATTTATAATTATGTATTTCTTAAAAAAAAAATACATGTATTAAAAAGAATACATAAAAACAATATAATTTTAATACATTATGGACATTAAAAATAATTCAAAATGAATATAAAGATACTAAATATGGGCCAATCAAATTTCGCCACATATGAGCAAATTGTGGTGCCTTTTTAAAAGAATGACATTTTAGAATTTTTAAAATTGTAGACTATTAAGCAAAAACAACACAAACAGCTGAAGGTATAAAATAATTTTGTACATAGTTGCTATTAGATTCAAGGTGATAAACTTGAACTAGAGAAAGAGGGGAAAGGGAATAACAAGATAAACAAGTTCTAAATTTGAAATTATGTGGGACTAATCTTGCAAGATTTACAAGACTATTAGTGGAGTGTGGGTTATGTGAGGCCTTTTGTAGTAGTTGGTGCTAACACAATTTTATCACGCATCAAAAACAATTCAATAATTGCAAACCTTGCAAGTAAAGAAGAACGAAAAAAGTAAAATTTAAACCCGAAAAGTTAGGGTAACATAAAGAACTAATAATTTTGTCTAATTTTTTTTTTTTTTTTTTTTTTTTATGAAGCCTTTATTTCCGAGCCAGCCCTCATTTATATCCTATATAAACAAAGTTGTGTTTATATCTTCACGAATTTGATGTGGAGTGAGTAAATATGAAATGGACTTCCATTGTCATTTTCACTTTGTCAAATAACGGTTGTAAATGCACTAAAGAGAAACCCATCTTCTTTCTTTGACAATGGAGGAAAGAAACCAGAAGACCCACCTCTTTCTCTTTGACAATGGAGGAAAGAAAACAAATGACACACCTCTCTACCTTTGACAATGGGGGAACAAAGCCAAAAAGTGATGTAAACCCAGAACCATTTGACATTGGAAGAACGAAGTCGAAATAGAAGACCCACCTCTCTCCTTCACAAGCATTCTCTCTCCTCTGCCTCATTAATTTCCACCGTCACGCCCAATCGCTCATCAACCTGATCCACCCTCATACTCAAACTACAAGGTGGTAGTCTCAGCTCAAACACTACCATTTTTGGCGGCTTTGCCGCCGAATTAAACTAAAATCCTAAGAAAAATGGAGAAATTAAGAGTATAATTAATCCTAAAGGGTAGGTGTTTCACTCCTCCATTGTTTCCTCCATTAAAGATGAGCTTTTACTTCTTTTCCATAGAAGATGAGCTCTTCATTCTCCGTTGAATAGCAGCCATAAGAGTAAAATCCGTCATATCTCCAAATTATTCCACCGTTTAAATGTTTTACTGAAGTTACAATGATGCCCTTAGTTTACCACTGAAATTACCGAAGATACCCTTATATTAACAAAACTTGTTAATATAGGATATAAACTTGTATTTTCTCTTTACTTCCATCCTATTAATACAAACCAAAAATCAATTATTGCTTTAATAACCTAAATTGAATAATTTGTCTTAATTTCCCAAATTTGTAAACTTTAATTCCTTGCATTGATAAACCCTGATTTTGCAAATTGATAAACCATGATTCCCTTAATTTCAAAAATTTGTATTAACCCAATTGATTAAAGAACACTAAGGCTTAAATTGATCAAAACACCCAAATTAAAATACACCCTAATTTTGCAAATTATATACATTAACTCTGTTCATTTATAAAATTCAATTTCCCCCAAATTTGATAAACCCAAAATTTTCAAGTTTACAAACTATAATTTCCTCTACTAGTAAATTTAAAGTTCCAATTGCAAATCAATGAAATTTTTTCTAATTAAATATTGTTTTGAATCACCAGGGATCAACAATTGTAGAAATGAAAATAAACAACAAATTGGAGGAAATAATAATAATATCCACAAATGCTATTGAAAATTTTAGGTTGGGAAGTAGTGTTTTTTTAGATAGTTATTTTCAAAAGGGATTTTTAATGGTTAGTGTTAAAACACAAATCTATATATAAATTCAAGAGCCAATTTTTCAACTTTTAATAGCCTCCAAATTTTGATTGGAGCAATTTTATGCACTTCAATTTTTGTAAAAAAATTTTGTAAAAAAATAAAAAGATTTAACATGTTAAAATTTTCTCTTTTTTTTTCAAATTGAACAAACCCTGTGCGTAAACTCATGTTCATTCTAGTTATAGAAAAAAAAATGACTTGTTTTATTAGCTATCGTGGAGAACTGGAGACTATGGTAGATATTATTTACCCTAAAAAAAAGGTTGAAATTCTTTCTAAAAGAAGCATAATTGATGAATTTTGAGTCTAACACACATGTTTGATCAATTGTAACTTTATGTTATGAAAATATTATATTTAAATACTAAACATTGTAACAATTCTAATAATATGGTACAGTATAAAGATAAAGTTATAATTTTAAAAATCTGTAAATATTTAAATTGTTAATTTATTAATCTTTCCTTACTTTTCTTTGTTGATTGACTGATTGATTTTTTTTAATTATTTTTATTCTAATTACTACCGCATTTTCAATAGAAATCATTCGGTCCCCGTTTGGTTTGATGTAAACCATTTTCAATGAAAAGACAGTTTTTGTGGAAAACATATTTTCAAAGGAAATTACAATTGCAAATTTGTTTTCGTTTGTTTGGTTCCATACAAGTAAAGTTAGAGAGAAATTAATAATAGGATTGGAAATGTTAGGATGGATGAAAGAAAAGTAAAAAGGAGGCATGGAAAAGGGAGGAAGATGTGTCTTCCCTTATTTGGTAAGAGAAAATGGGTTTCACCATTGGGAAAATTGTCTTCCACCTTTTCACAAACCAAACAAAGCAAAATGGAAAGAAAAAAAAAAGGAAAATCATTTTCCATTAAACACCTATACTCATTTTCCATTAAACACCTATACTTATCTATTAAAAGGAGTTCCTAAAAACGTCGATGTGCCACGTAATCCATTTTCTTTATTGCGCCACGTCATCTTCCCAACATCTCATGACGCCACATCATCACTCAAACAATGTCGCGTCACCCAAGCAACCAACATTACTCCATATAAAGATAAAGAGGTTTGAACCCAACCTCTTTTATAACAAAAATGACTATTTAACCATCTTAACCAATTATCAACAATGTTATTAATATATATGTAGAAAAATTTATATAAGTGAAACCACAAGGTTCAATTGAAAAAAAAATAAGATACTTACAAAATAACTCAATTTTGATTTGACAATGACAATTGGAGTTTAGAAAAGCCTTTAAAAAATTCATCGACTGCACATCTACAACAGTAGCGACACAGGACAACGCCCGGTCACTCACTAGTTTTACATCAAACCATATGTGGTCTTAAGGTAACTGCTTGCAAGTAACACAAGTTACTCAACCAACACAAGCCTAATATAGATAGACATTCCTCAAAGTCATCACCTTTTTAGTTATTTGAAAGTTGGGATCATTTAATGTAGAATGACGATAGTTGATACTCCTTCCGTTTCAATTTGATAGTCCTATTTTGACTTTGCACGGTCTCTAAGATACCTTTGACCATCAATAACTTTATTATATATTAATAAAAATTATAAAATTTAATTTTATAAAACTACACATCGAAACGTATCTAAAATTGTCTCACATGATTATATACCTTTTTATATATATATTTATGTGTGTTTTTGGTCAATATAATTTTATTTTTTCTAGCTTATAAATAGTCAATATGGGACCATCAAAAACTTTCTCCCTTTTTTTTTTATTAACACGTTTTGACTTTAGCATTGTTCACGCATTTGCCTTTGACCGTGATTTATACGTAATGAAAAATATAGTTATGTGAAATCTTGATAGATTTGTCGCGTTATATATTTTCAATATATCAAGGCGTTTATAAATTTGTGTATGTACCACGTAATCCTTACACCAGTATGATGCCACATCATCATTTAACAACCTTTAGCATCATGCCACATGAGATTTGAACCCCACCTCATTGATTGGAAACCACATGTATTACCATCTTAGCTAGAATTAAATCATGTTTTATTAAGCCACATTTATATATAAATACATACATGATACATGTATTAGAATGAATAAAAACCGAAAAATTTCAAAATAAGTATTGTTGTCGTTGTATTCTTAATTACCCACTTTAAAAAATTAAAAAGTATTTTAAAGCGCCTAATACAAAAATGAAATTATTCAAAGTATCACATGGAGCAAAGCACGGGTCACACACTAGTTAAAGATATTAATGGTTGGAGATATGAGGCTAGAGTAGTTGGCTAGTTCTCTGACTTTTAGACGTGAGGCCAAGGGTCGAATCTCACCAAGCACATCTTAGGAGGGATTCCCTTACATTTTCCCTTGATGGGCCTTCTCCTTATCATTCCAAAAAAATAGTTATTAATACTTGAATTTATGCATTGAAAAATGAACTAAAGAAATGTGCCAACTAAAAAGAAACAGAGGAAGTGGAAGGAGTACTATAAAAGTCTCTTTTTCTTTGGTCTTTCAACCATTAAATGAAAAGTAGTTTCTGGGTAGGAATATACGAACATGTACTGAACCAACTAATAGTACCCAAATTAATCGACTACTCCGTATATTGTCTGAGACATCCAAAATCACAACAGCAAATTATAATTAAAAATATTCTGTACATCTTATGCATGATTACAAAGTGGATTAATTAAGAAAGGCTGGAGGGATCAGATTTGTAGTTAGATAAGTGCTTCAAATTACTCATTTACTGATCAATGGGCATTGTTCTGAGCAAAAGAATTCAACTAGCACGTATCACCGCAATAGATAATGTCGCTGTGACCTGAAAACATTGACATGGTTCAGAGATAATTCCCAAGCAGTCTAGGACAGAAACATTAGAGATAATGAGGAATTTTAAAGACATGCATGAATTCAATCATAATTTGTTTCATGACACCAAATTGCCAGTAACATATCAAAAAAATCATTAATGGAGAGCAATATGTTTATTAAAGCCTTGAAACCGGTAGTTGTGATGCCATTGTCTAAACGAAAGTAACTGACCATGAGAGTGTATTGCATTAATTTGTGGCCCTGAGACTTCGACACCATCATCACTTAAGAAGGAAATTCCGGAAGCAGTTATCTCAAAACAAAATTGCAGAGGTGGAGACATTGGAGATTTTGCAATCTTCATGTATCTTTGACCTGCATTTTTAGATAAAAGATAATTAGACATAAAGAGTATAAGACCTGCAATAAGTTTCCAAAGCAAGCCAAAGAGAGAGAGGGAGACAGGAAAGAGCACATAACTCCTCACCAGTAGAAACAAACATTTGAACAGTTATTGGTCGAAATCTGGCAAATCACAGGCCAGAAACTTCCGCAAATCATGCTCATGATTTGGCAAATTCAAGATCTACCATTACTTCCTTTCTCTCGCTTGTTCGGATTAGAGATACAAAGTTGGGGCTTGGGAGTTATGGTGGGTAGAGGACAGGGTGGTGCTCCTTGGTGAGTTGGTGTTGATGGCCAGGGATGAGGTTGGTTCAGGCTTTTCCACTCTCTCCTTGTACTAGGTTTGATTTGTTATTTATATTGAGCATGGTTGACATAATTAAGCATGGTTGACATTACCTCTCATGTCATGAACAAAACCATTTCTGAACATAGTTCACCATGCTATTTCTTTTTCTTTTTATTTTTTGGGCAAACAAAAGGAATATAATAATAAAATCAAAGTGGTACAAAAAAAAAAAAAAAAAAAAAAAAAGCCTGCAAAAATAGGCCTATTGCAATGGTATTAATATAATTTAAGCTCATTCCTTCTACGCAGGGCCAAGCAAAATCACTTCTTCATCTGCAGCCCTAAAGTCATAGACCCCTACTAAAGCTCAATAACAACAGACTTAGCAAAAATTTTGAGCAATAAACATTGCTGACTAGTAATTCTACAAGAAAATTCAAAACAATATATCTTTAAACACAGCCACAGGACTCCTACAGTTACCTCTGAAAGACTGAAAGTCATCTTACTTCTTTGAAGCTAGATGTGATAGATAGCTTTTGTAAAGAGCATCGCAAGTGAAATATGTGCTTATCCCCTGAATTCTTTCAAAAATTAATAGCCTCAACCCTTTTTAGCTTCAAAAGGAATACAACTATACAGGACTTACATTGATAAGGGTACCGTAGGAAGTAGTGACAACCAAAAAATTAGTCAACAAACAACTTTTGGAAATCAAGCCCCAACATAACCTCATGCAAGAAATTTCCTTCAAAAGAGTAGTATGCTTTCTTAAGATTATCTCACTGAGCCTCCCTGAAGAAACCAGCTTGATAAACAATTAGAAAATCTCCAATAATTCTTTATGTTCTAAAGGTCAAGATTTAAAAAAAAAAATAGTAACCACATTACTGAGCACAGTCCATGTACTTGAGCATAGTTTTGGTATGAAAAAATTTATCCACATCATTATACACATCAGACTTAATAAGAGACAAAACTTCTTTTGAAACAGACAGCATTCAAACCGTCTAATCCAGGGGCTTTATAAACTCCAATACCCATCATAGCCAAAATAAATTTCACTTTGTATGACAATCTATCAGAGTTTTCCTCTAGATTCAAGGCTGAGCCTAGGTCCACTTCAAATTGTAGGTGTAACAACCAATGGTAAGCTATTACCTAGAAGTTTTGTTAAACCTATTACTTCATCTTGAATAATTAGAGTCCATCAATGTTTCCATATCATTATAGAGAAGTTAATTAAGTTCACTCTGTGCCTTTTCCTAACAGCAGAAAAGAACCTATGATCAGAGTCGCCAATATTGAAATAATAGCCTTCTGTCTATGAGAAATTTCTTCAATTTCTACAACTCTCCACCATTTTTTTCAGTTGATTACAGCAAAAATGCTCTTTAACATGAAAAATTACTATCAACATACTCTAGCTGAGACTGAACTTCCTCCAAATCACATCATACCTTTTCAATTATCTGAATAGTGCTAGCAAAATCCTTAGGATGCAAGGTTTTCAAATAGACTTTGGTTTTGTCTAATTTGAGCCATAATTTCAGCTTATGGCTTCATTTGACAGCAACATCACTAAAAGGAGCACAAATAATTTCACCAAATTTACTATGAAAGACTAAGTAATTCAAGAATTTAAAAGGCCTTGCTCCACCAATAGAGTTTAGAAGAGAAGTAACTAAAAAAAAGAGGGGGGCGGTGGGGGTGGAGAGGAGTGGGGAATGATCAGAAATAGAGAGATTGAGGTACTATATTACATCGGTAAAATTCTGCATCTAACCTGAGCAAATTCTACTATCAATATGCCCTTTACACCAAGAGTTATAGTATCCTAAACTTTTAAGGGACTTAAACCAATACTATCAATACAATCATCAAAAATCTTTCATTTATGTACAGCTCTATTAACTCTGTCATCGACGATGAATTGAAGTTGTAATCACCTCCAAGCTCCAACTAGCTAGAGGATTCCACTGATTTAATTTACATAATATCAGAACCAAAATCCTGAAGAGTGCTCCATAAGGGCTTGCTTAACCATATATAGCAGTAAAACAGAAAGCAACACGCTCATGTCTATTCCTTACTTCAAAATGCATGAATATAGAGGAGCTAGAGATCAAATGCATATCCACAGCAGCCATCCCACCCAAATCATTCCTCTATTAAAGCAGTTATAATTGTCTTCTCATGTCCAATGTCAAACAAACTTCAGTTGTGCCTTCTCTTTCTACTTTTAACACCACCAGTCCACCACCTTGGCCCAGTTTTTACCACTTAGTATGTTAAAGCTAGTTTTTAGCAATAAATAGCTACCGCAGCTAGTCATCAGATTTCTTGTAAAGAGAGTGAGCTCTGAAAATTTGCCAAGTGGCCAAACCTTTATGCTTAATGTTAAGCTCCCTATTTCTTTTCTTAAAACTACAGGCTATGTTATGCGGCTTAAGATTTTATCCATGCTAGTTTATTGACATCCTTTATTTGCTCCAGTAATGAATTTCACTAAGATCTACTTTCATTAAAAGAGATTCACACTTCTAACGGGGTTATTCCCTGCATGTCAAATCGTAACCTTACTACTTACTAGAAATCTCTTTAATGCATACGTATCTGATATCAGAAATAACTCGTTTGAAATATTAAATTTGATCATTGAGTGAAACACCAAAGTTTATGCTGTATCAATTCTACATCAATAGCCTAGTCCCAAGTCCCAACCATTAAAATTGAGTTTTACACGGTTGTCCCAACTCCCAAGTTGCAAACACAACATTTTGGGATTAAATTTTATTATAAATGGCCATAAATAATTCCCATTCATTCCACGAAAGCCTTAATAAATCAATATTTTTTTCAAGTCCTTCCCATATACAATCATCTACCGGTGTACAGCTCCCTACCTCTGATAATACAATTTTTTAAGGAAGTCCTTCATAAGCCAATCTAACTTTTCTAGCAACCCAGACCAACACCTTCAAAAGGATTCTCTTAGAGGCTCTTACAATTAGGAAAACGACATTTTTCTTTTTTTTAATTTTTTTTAATAGAAAGAGTAACTGATAATGAAATTATTCTTTAGTCCTAAAAAGTAAATCTGTTACAAACAGATACATTAAACAAAGTAAATCACTTGTTATATATAAATTTTTTAACACATCTTACTTTAATTCTAAAATCTGGGTTTCCATCACTGAAACTAACACTCTATTAGAGTCTATTCCCACTTGATGACATGCGTACCAGATCTCGAGTCAAGGATAAGCCTTATGCTTACAGCATGTGCCCAGTGAATCCCTAAAGCAGCAATCAGATGAGTGTCAAATCTTGTAAGATTGTCTGATCTAGTCTGCATCTGCACTGTACATATAAAATGGCTATGAATATCAAACCAAGCAGCAGGGAATGGAATAGATGGATTATGATGACGGGTGATTTTCCAGTTGACTAGTGAGCAATTCATGAAACCAACAAGTGCGAGAGATTAGACATTGCAAGAACTCACTATACGCAGAAAAGTTTATACAAAACTGTAAATTACAAAAATAAAACAAAAATAAATAAATAAATAAATTATGTTTGGTCTCTTATATGGAAACATCCTCTTTTTCCTTTAAAATAGTTGCTGTACAGTTTACAAGTTATTTAGTTTAGTGATTGCAGATCTGTAAAGGGGCAATAAAGATAATTATGGTTTTAATTTTAAATTGGATACGTACATCAATTGCTTTTTTTTACTTTGAAAAAACGAAGGCAACTTATCTAAATATTTTGCTTTCATTCTTTATATACAAAGTTAAGTGAGAAACTTGCAGTTGCTGAACGGCTGAACCTGCATTAAAGGCTTCAAGGGCGCTTAATATCTAAACACCGGGGGTAGTTAAATGACGCTTGCATTTTTGGACGAACATACCCTCCCGTGTATTCCATGCTTTTCACCCATCTAACTCAAACTAACATTCTTATGTCCTAACAAACCACCACCGACCACAACCGGCCAAGAGCAAGGTCATCGCCGTAGTTAAAGTCAGTTTTTTTTTTTTTTTTTTTTTTTTTGGGTGGAGGCCAAACAAAACAAAAATTCCAGGTGTTTCTTTTCCAATTTTTTACGGTTTTAGTTTTATCATAACTTTTGATCCTGAACTCAGATTAAGACAAATAATATATCATTTGAAAGCCCTAAAAGTCTATTTTCCAACCCAATTGGAATTAAGTCATTATCATTTCTAGATCTTAAGATATGGCCAAAATAGTGCAAGGGTATCGGTTTTTGACCGAGTTTAGTACTTTGATTAGATCTCCTTCGTTAAATTGAAATTGGGATTATGATATATCATTGTAAAGCTTATTTCAAGGGATATCCATTCATGTAAGATTTGCATAAAATAATGAAGCACAGAAATCATATTTGCTCTGTTTCAGGCTGCAGTTATGAGAATAGAAAATTGGGTTAAGATTTGTGGATATTGCAATTATTGTTATGTTTCATAATATCGTTAAATTCCAAATGAAATTTTTATCAATGACCTCGCATAATAATTACCTAAAAATGACAATGTTCAATTATAAAACATGACATTATATCATTACTAACCCTAAAAGGTATAATGGGGACTGCAAAAAGTTAAACAGCAAAAACTTACAATTGGTACCATCAGTATGTTGGAAAGAAAACAAAGAGTCATCATGTGATTGTGATCTAACTTGGTTTGTCACAACAATAGGTATCCGTGAGAGCTCTGCTAGTGATCTGTATATCAAATGGTAAATCTTAAATTCAGCAATTCAGAGTGAAAAAAAACATATAGAAGAGGGGTTCAGAAATAGGTAATAGGCAAGGAAATTTTACTTGATGAATGAAATATGCCATGCAAGTGCATGCTGTCTAGGATTTGTCTGCTCATATTCCCTACACAACAATATATTATATGAGCACTTGAACTAATAAAAATCACGCACCAATAAACAAGTAATTAACTGGCACAGGTGCCCGACCCCTGATTTTAAATAAGTTGATCGTGAATGTTTCAACCTGACACTTAAGGCAACTTCTAAGATGTGGCATTCTCCTTACGATATAACTTGAGGGTAACACAAGTCATTTACCCATCCTCAGAAATTGGTTTCAGTGGTTTGAATAAAACCACCAGTCCTTATTAACTGAATAAGTACTTTAGCTAAATCACATGAATGGTTCTTACTCCTTCCTAGTATGGACAAACCTAGAGTATCTATCTTTTGTAGAAAGAGAGAAGGGCTTTTTGCATGGAGACATGCTTCCTCTAGTTAGTTTGCCTCAATCACAACATTTATTATCCAAATGAGTATTATGCATGTATCTATGATTCACGTATGCACAAACCCAATAAATATGCAACATGCACGATACATGCATACATACGTATGTCCGTATATACATGTGCCTAAAGTCTGTGCGTATGTGCTTTTCCATCCAAGTTAGGCATGGCTGTAAAGAGTGTCTAGAGCATACCACCTTCGTGGGTAAGAATCATAAGCAAAGATACACTAGATGACCAAAATAGTGGAAGCATAGCACTTTTTCAGGAAGAATAATACATACATAGTCCTTCCAGGTTATACATGTTGGAAATAAATCACTGCTTTTAAAAATCAGCAGTCTCTTTCTAGACTAGTAGACTGTAAAGGATATATAAAGGAATTTAGTCTAACCAACTTTTAAATTCTTTCCAATTATCAAGAATCAATTTTTCTTTCATACAGAATGAATTTCTGCAAGACGTAAGAACAGGGTCATTAGAATCCATATCATGCGGTGAAATAAGAAATTTCGTCTTGATTGGTCTTTAATCTCTTTATATCTAACCATCATTAACTGCTGATAGCATGTCTAATTTTCCAGAGCATATAAGTCCTGCTTTAAAAGTTCACCATTTTTCTCAGAGCATATTCTGCTGTATGCTGTATCTTCCAAATGTTTCTTTATTCACAATTATATGTTCATCCACTGTGTAAATGAAGTAGATATAAACAACTATTTCATCAGACACAAGTTAGAACATCTCACAGAATATTGCTCTACCAAAATAAGACAGAAATTGGCTCATTAGTAGTGAGTAGTATTTGAACAAGGCTCCTAAGAGTCCTAAGCAGCACATACTTGGTACCCCTTTCTATTTCCGTGGGATGTGGGCAAAGGGGAAATGCTTGAAGATGAAATGAAACTTTTGCAATTTGAAGGGGTGTTCCTCAAGGACCCCTGTAGAACTCTTATAAAAAAAGAAAAGGCTAAGCTGATTGTTAGATGTTCTCAAGTCCCTTATTTCAATTTCTAGCATGCCTAGCAAAAAAGTGACTTGCGTCAATAGCTTGCTCTTTTTCGATAAAAAGAAACTGTGTTCTTATTTTAAAAAATATAGTGAGTCAGTAAGCCACTGAAGGATTTTTTTACAACTATTCCCATTACAATAACACAATCAAATCAGATTTTTGAACAAAATTTGACAAATACTAATCAAATTTATAAATTCTTGTACTGACCAATTTTTCAAGGGAGTGCAAAAAACTCTTGATTGTTTACCATGGCAGTATGGGAGTAGTTACTTGCGTTTGGGCTATGAGCCAGAGTGGTTATCCTCCCTCCCTTGAGACTCATTGTTGGACTAAAGACCATAAATTGGCTCACAAGCAACTCATCTTTTTTTTTTTAAAAAAAAACATTTTTGTACAGATCTGCAACTTGTTTAAAAAATGTATGGTTTCTTTGCAAACAAAGTTCAGAATCAACAAAGTTCCTTGGGAAAGTAGCCATAAAGTAGGCAATAATTTCATTAGATGCACATAAGGCGCTTATGTGCCAAGAATGCAACTACACACTTTATAGTAAATTCAATAATGTATTAGACCATAATTGCTAAAATAAATCAAAGTAACCCTTTAGCTCATGCTTAACTTGCCGCCTTTTTTGGATGGTAGAAGTCGCCAAATTTCTCCATCTCAACTTTTCTTACCTCACCCTAATGACTGTTCTTTTCGGAACAACTGGGTCTTATGACCCCGTAAGGGGCAGGGAAGATATAACCATCTATTGTTTGAAAGGCCTCATTGTCAATACATATAGTTTCTAAATATTGGTACACACTGCATTACTGCAAGCTATCTAGCATACAACACTCACTGCTAATGTGTAGGTATACATGAGTTGTCTCCTAAAATTTATAGGGCCATCAAAATTCATAACCTCACCATACCCAACCTTTTACTATTTCATCAATCATCAATGCAAATACATTAGATGACACATTTCATTTAGGCACGTTTGTTAATGCATACTTTTTAATGCAAATATCCTTGATTACATATCAGCAAAAATTATAAAAAACTGACATTTAAAAAATAAATATTGAGATGAATCTAACAAGACCCCACATGACTATACTGTTTTACAACTCAAAATCACAAAACGAAGTTAAAGAGTGCACAAAGTCAAACTGTGCCATCTAATTTGAAACGGAGGAAGTACTTAAATCTATTTTAAATTTTAAATTATTTTTTTTACATTTCTTTTTTTATGTTCTTTAAACTTTCAACGTTTGTTTATTCCTTTTTGTTCTTTACACTTTTGCTTTCTTCCATTTTCCATTATGACATCTTACGATTTTCCCCCTCCTTATCCCAAAAAAAAGTAACCACTTACAGCCCACACACTTAGTTTTTCACAGACACTTGGTCTGTGTGTAAATGGTAAGTGTAACAATCATTTAGCTGCGGAGAGGGAGTAATTTTATCACCAAATCTTTTTGATACACATGTCATCTCTTTGTGCATTCTCAATTTTTTTTTCTTTTATTTCTTTAAAATAAATATATATCTTCAATTATTATATAGTTTCAAATGAATCTTCATATTCATCTTGGGAAAAAAATTATCCTTAATCTTAAAATCAATGAACTATTTCTCCCTTTTTTGTATATCCAACCACTTCATCAATCTTTAAAAAATGACATGTTAAGATTTCTTAAAACTAAAGGCAAGATAGATATAATATCTTCTCTGTTGTTACTATTTTATTTTTCTATTTACATCTTCCACGAGACTTTCCGTAGTTTAAAATTTTAAACTTAACATTGCCCAAAACTAGTTTCATTACCGGAGTCAAGGAAAAGGCCGTACACATAAATAAATTGAAAATTTTATGTTATACAACCCACACAGCTTACAAAACCAGTTTGAACTTTATACCATGAATATAGCACAGGTGCAACCGTGCAATCTCCTTTATCCTCAACTCACATTCAATAAATGACAACAAAAGCATGGATAAGTAGTGGATAACCAAAATAATTCTTATGCAACGCACAAAGGGTGCAAGTTCCCTCTCTTTCATTCCTTAAAGTCATAATTATAACTTCTCCTCTACCATGGATGTCATTGACCAAAAAGTATGCAAATTGACAAGTTTTACCACTAACAATACTCAATAGCCCCTTAAACAAAAGTAAAAGGATTTTAAGATAAGTTTTCTTTATTAATTTGATCAGATATATGGCTTTAACAATGTACTTCAACTTACTAAGTTACTATATGACTCAACCTACAAGAAAGATTGCCAACTTTTCACATTAATTTACTCAACATAGGAGCACAAAGACACAATAAAGTAAAAGAGGAATTACCCAGAAAGAAGAGCGGCCATACTGTCAATGATAAGCAACTTCGCTTTATTCTGGAGCAATAAAACCTTTATTTGCTGCAAGCTGGGAAACAGATGCATAGCCCATTAGTCTATCATTGTAGTATATTCATTAATGTAAAGTAACTAGAAACCTAAACTGGGTAAAATGACACATATGAGGGTTGCTCTTTTGTATATCAAAAGATAGCATGAAATTGGAACTTGGAAGTCAATAGCTATGCAAAAAAAATGAAAAAAAAAAAAATTGTTCTCAGTACGTTGAGAGCACACACAAACACCCCCCCCCCCAATCCTACAAAATCATCTCGTTTCTTTTGGGGACGTAGATTTAGTAGAGTGTAAGGGTTAAGGTTTTGTTAAGTACTTCCTCCGTTTCTTAATAGTTGCATCATTTTGACAAAACCATTTGCTAATACACCCCCTTGACCACTATTAACTATGCTTTTCTAAAAAGTATAAAACAATAATATTTTGAAAATATATGTTATGATTAAATCAACCACAATAAAAAAGAATAAAATATATTTTTATATGTTGAAGAAAAGGCGTCTATAGACTTGCTGATATTGGAAAGGTCAAGTTTGTGAAGGATATTGACCACAAAGTTCTAGTTGGAGACAAGGAAATAAAGAATACATGGAGGTCTTACTTTGATAACCTATACAATGGCAATCGAACCCAAGATATTGGTTATATAAGTGTCCCTCGTGATAGGGTTCATTGGAAGTTTATGCGAAGGATTCAAAAGGGGGAAGTCAAAATGGCATTAAAAAAGATGGGATTGAAGAAAGAGGTTGGGCCTTATGGCATTCCTATTAAGGTTTGGAGATGTTTGGAAGAAAGAGGAATTGAATAGTTAGACAACTTTTTTCAACGAGATTTGGAGATGTAATAAGATGCCTTTAGAGTGTAGGAAAAGTATTGTAATACCTTTGTATAAAGATCAAAGGCGATGTCCAAAATTGTGCTAACTATCGAGGGAACAAACTAATAAGTCATACTATGAAACTTTGGGAGCAAGTGAGAGAACAAAGGTTAAGGAGAAGTGTAAAGATCTCAAAAACCCAATTTAGATTTATGTGTGGAAGATTGACTATGGTGGCAATCCATCTTATGAGACAACTAATGGAGATTTATCGGGATAAGAAGGATACACATGGTTTGATTTGGAAAAGGCTTACAATAAGATACCAAGGGAGATTCTTTAGCGGGCTTTAACAAGAAAAGGCGTTTCGCGAAAATATATTAACATCATATATGACATGTATGACAGAGCTAGCGCAAGTGTGCAAACCACGGTTGGGAAGACAGAAGAGTTCCCTATTACAATCGGAGTTCATCAAGGTTCTACACTTAACCTTTTTCTATTGATATATGGACGAATTGACGAGTTCAATTTAAGATGATATGCCATAGTGCATGATGGTTGCTCACGATATAGTGTTGATTGACGAGACGAAAGAAGGCATGAAAAGAAAGTTGGAATTGTGGAGACGAACTTTGGAGTCACATGGCTTAAAGGTGAGCAGATGTAAGACAGAGTATTTGGAATGTAAGTTTAGAGGTGATCACCTTGGATGGGAAGATTGTCCTTAGAGGTAAACTGATATGTAGGATCTATTATTCAAAATGATGGAGATGTAGCTCCCAGGATCAAAGCGGATTGGTTAAAGTGGAAGAGTGTGATGGAAGTTTTATGTGATCCAACATGCCACATAAATTAAAGGGTAAATTCTACCGAATGGCAATAAAGCATGCTTTGTTATATGGTATAAAATGTTGGCAGTAAAGCATTGCCACGCACATAAGATGGATGTGGCGGAAATTCGTATGTTGCAATGGATGTGTGGCCATACAAAGAGGATTGGTTGAGGAATGAGATAATTTTTAAAAAAATATATATATATAAAAAAAAAAAAAAAAAAAAAAAAAAAAAAGCAAGGGTTACATTGATTGAGTACAAGATGAAGGAGAATCACTTATGTTGGTTTGGTCATGTATGAAGGAGACCAAGTAAGGCTCCAGTAAAGAGGCTCAAAGAGTTAAAAAGTGATGGGATCACAAAGGATAGGGGGAAACCTAAGAAAACTTGGAAGAGGGTGAGTGAGAGTGATATGAAAAGTAATTATATATGAATTTATTAGGAGAGTAAAATGAAGATGAGTATAAAAAGATATTCATAGAGGTAAAAAACTAAACATTATTACATCATTTGAACCTAAGTAAAAGGAGAAATGGGTAATTCTCGTTGCACATGCAATAAAAGAGAAATGAGAAGTATTTTATGGAATGGAGGGAGCATCTAAATTATCAATTTTTAGTCTAATGCATTTAAAGCACCGCTCAACTAAAACCTATTGTTATGTCTCACCATGGAATTTTAGCTTCTAATAAATAATATGAAATCGATACATCACAAAATATATAATAAAAATTATACGTTACCTATGTTTTTGGGATATAACAAACAATAACAATATGAAGAAAATGTAACTTAAGGGAAAAAAAAAAAAAAAAAAATTGAGTTTTGATTTTCTATATTACCATTCTACAATTATATAATGACTTACAAGCTAATTAAAAAAATTAGTTCACATTTTTTTCAATAACAACTAATGTTAATAAATGTTCACGTAACAAATAAAAGAATAGGGTTTTCTATTTATTTTCTTCTCATGTTCCTTGTATTCTCGCTCTTCTCATGCTCAAATTAGAGATAACCTTACGTTCACCTATGATTTTGGGAGGTAACAATATCGCATAATCTATTAGAAGCTATATTTCCAGTTTTCCACTGCAAGCTCTTATTCCTCTTGGTTCTTTTCCACTTTTTATTGTGATAATTGGTACCCTTTTAGTACATGTTCGGGTAGCTATATCAGTTTGACCTTATGTTATAAATTTAGTTGATAACGAGAGCAAATATGTAAACAAATGGTTTTAGGGGTATAAATGTCCGTACATTATTCTTAAGAGTTTTAAAAAAGAGGCAATTAACATTAATGAGGGCATAAGTAAATAAACATTTTAAATAATACATTTGTCCAAACACTATTCATAAGATATCTCATACTTCTTAAAAGGTAGGGATTCTTATAAGGCAAAGATAAACCGAAGGGAGTAGTATAAAGCTCCATGTCTCCATCGGCATCCCATGATTAGCATCATTTTCTTATTCCAATCATGACTAAAAGCAATAATAAACTCATGCATCAATAACAACCCCCCACCCCCACCCCCCCTTCTTACAAGTTCTTATTACAAAGATGATTGTTAAAACCCAAAATAAAGGAATCCTACTAATACCTCAAAGTGTCAAATCATTTTTGAAATATAAGATAATAAACCCCAAAACAGTCAAGACTTTTTTAACCTTAAAGAATCGATAAGCTCACATCTTAAACTGACAAGAACATATATTTTAGAACAAGTTGCATGACTATTATCATAACGTCCAACAAAGCAATACTTCTACTGTCACCTATCTTCATTCAGATCATTTTAACCAGCCAACATGCAATGCTAGGGCAAAGCTCATATCAATATTACTTCCTCCCTCTCCTTTCTATGGTTACATTTCTAAACTTTCCTGAAATAAAATACTAATTTTACACATTTACCCCACATATTCTCATACTTCCTCCCTCTCTTTTCTATGGTTACATTTCTAAACTTTCCTGAAATAAAATACTAATTTTACACATTTACCCCACATATTCTCATACTGCTAATACACTTACCCTCATATTATCTACTATTCCCATTTATCAAAATATTTACATATTCCCAAAGCAACTATTTCCTTTTACCATGACATTTACCTCCTCCCAAAGCAAATATTTCCCATTACCAAAATATTTTCCTTCCCGAAACAAATATTCTCATTTTATATACTCCAAAAGTCTTTTTCTTAACACTTGTGTAAAAAACCAAATGAAACATCAGAAAAGTGACGGAGGGGGTAGCAAGTCCAATGCAAAAGAAAGGTACATTTTACAGCAATTGGTTTAATTCTAACATGACTTCAACAAAGTACCTATCAGTAAACTCAAGAAGCGATGTAGGCTGCAACACCAGAATTCTACCTGCCATCTGGGGCAATATATGATGATCAATGCTAGTTCTTCATTAACACCAAAATCCACATTACTTAAGTGGAAAACCGTTTTACCTCTTTCGCCATCCCTTCACGATAAAATACTTCTGGAAAACTTTTTGACCCAATCTCTATCATCCTGACGTATTAAACATCAACAAAAAATTTCTGAATATTGTAGATTAGGATAGCAAATTAAATTCTTGTTTAAATACAACTCACATGAAAGTTATCACAATACACCTAAAAAAAACTCTTTTATCTTTTTAAGATAGTTTTCCGAGTCTAGAGAAACAGGAAGATGAGTTTATGCTTCTGTCAAGTAATTTTTTAGTCAAAACAAAAGCTAACTACTACTAATCAATGGAAAGATAACATATAAAATATAATTCAACTACCTTCGTGAGCTGAATTTGGACTCCACATCAATGTAAATAACATGACCATCTAAGCCACCACAACTCACTGGAAGTGAAGCCAGTAATGCCAGCTTCAGGCAAAACTGCATTTTGAACACAAACCAGTCAGATATTTCCCTAAGCATCACTTCTCTTTTATGATATAATGGAAAATCATAAGGTCTTTGTATTAGATAGTGGTAAATTATCCCTTTCAAAAAAAATGGTGGTAAATTATTATACACTCAAGCAATGCAACATTTAGAGCTTCTAAAACATTCTTCTCAAGATCATTCTTGACTTTGATCAATTTATCCCATAGAATAATAGAGTATAGAGAGAACAATCCAAACCTTTTACCTATCCAAGAGATTGTTCTTAGACACCACAATAAAAAAAAGTCTAAATATTCCTCTTGTAATCCATCTCCCATTCCTTTTTTTTTTTTTTCTTTCTTTTAGCTTATTTTCATTACTAACCTTCCTTTTTGATTTTCATTGTATTCTATATCTCTCGTTATTCTCTCTAAAAATCAACTTCATTAAAATTAGTACAATAATCTTTAATTTGATAATATAACCTTGTAAAACCTTGTAATATTTGAAATACCGAGTTCAGTCATACTTCTACTATTTTTCTTCTAAAATTTAAATCCATACAAATTACTAAAAGAATAGATTCCTAAAAACAGCTAAAAAGGATAAAATTGAGATGTTATATAAATGTCTAAACTTTATAAGCAACTTAAGGTCAAGTACAGTGTTTGAAAAAGTGCACGCTAGGCGCAAAGTGACAGGTGGTAAGCTCTTAACTTGGTCTGGGTGATGTGTTTGTAGGCGTAGGTTAGGCACATGAGGCACACCAAGAGGCGCATCTAAAGCAAATTTCAGCCAAAATGTTTAAATTGTTCATATAGTGTGCCTCACACCAAGAGGCGTGCCTAGGCGCAGTGGAACCCCTCTCACTTTAGCGCGCCTTGAGTTTTCTTATACATTGGTCAAGTATAATCATATTTTGATCAGAATAGATTAGTAAAAGCATTCTAAAACTTGGGCATTTTTAAGCAGAAAATTTCATATAAGAACTCAAGTGTACAAGCATATGTGATATATCATCCCTATTTAAAAGAAAGAATCACATTTATGTTTGACATACTTGTGTTTTTCCGATCCCTGCTGGACCAACCAGCTCAGTCACAACGCCAAATGGAATCCCACCGCACAAGGCCTTGTCTAAACCCTCTAGTTTTGTAGGAAGATGGCCAGCCAAGTGTTCATTTTGAACTCGTTGCTCCAAAAGCGATAATGCCTAAAAGCCAAACTTAAAAAGGGCTATATAAGAATGATACAAAGCAAATCAACTATGAAATAAACAGCAAAAACAGCCAGGACCATAGGCTTACAGTTTCAAAGGGTGGGCAGACCACTTCACTGATGTATGCAAGTGCGGATGTCACCTCTGTCAACCCCACATCAAGTAACTCCATCAACTCAAATTCTGTTAGCGAAAGTGCATCCTAGAAGAAGGGGAAAAAAAAAAAAAAAAAAAAAAGGCCATCAAACCCATGAATAGAAATTGCTATCAAGTACAAGTAAAGATTGTTTAAGTGTCGGTGTTATGTTATTTGGACTCTTCATTTCACCTCAAGTACCAATGTCGGATCTACATAAGTGTGAATACTTCGAGTTTCGACAATTCATTTTCAGCCAAACTCATGCAAAGTTTCACAAAATAATCGGGTAGGACATTTGGATACCTACCCCATGTCCAAGTGTACCCAAGTCCAAGTACATAGAGTGCATATAAAAAAAAAATAATAATAATGATCATTTTTAATCTAATTTTCAAGGATGAAATGAAGCTAAAATCAAGGGAAATCAGCACCATTGCCGATATTTCAATCGAAGTTTTTATCTTAGAAATGATAACCAAAGAACTTCCAGTGATTAGAATAGCTAAGATCACCTAAATTAGCAATACCCCAAGTACATATATCAAAATCATCAGTTTTAAACGACTACATACAATCAATCGGTCTTTTGCTTGCGATTCGAATCCTTTTTTTGACATAATACATCAACAACCAAACAATCAATCAATCGAGTTTTTCCAATCACAATAAACTAACAGCAAAATATAAACCCAATAATAAAAAGTATAGATAGAATCAACTAATACACCAAATCATTCAAATTACACCATTAAAGTAACATTTCAAAAGTACCCAAAAGCTAAATCGTCAAAATTTACAAGAAATTTCAGCAATTTGAGGGATTTAAAAATTATGGTACACTTTAAGAAAATTAAAATTGCAAATATAATTTTCATCAACTGACCTTGGCAGTTTTGATATTGCGGGCTGCAAAGATGTTGGCAATTGAGTTGGGAAGACCCATTTCACTGATAAGCCGATTCGCCATCTTCCTCAGTTCTTCCGAATTCAATGGCTTTTCCCGCCAAATATAAACCCTATATCATATAGGAAATGGTAAGGGTTAATATTGGCGCATAGCAGCTATAATAAGACAAAAGAGTGGGCAATTTTTTTTTTCTTCTACCATACAATGGCTATAAACATACTACTAAAACAACTAGGTGCATAGCTGTTATTTATTTGGGATGCATATAGGAGCGCTAATTGGTAAATTCATTTAATTTTTCTGATTTTTTTTATTGATACAGTGGTATTTTTAATGTACAATTATACTAAAAGGGGTATTTTTAATGTACAATTATACATGTATTTTATATTTTATACTACTAAAGTATATATTGTTTTAGTAGTACTATTTATAGTCATTACCACTAAAGAAAAAAAAAAAATTCACCACTCTTTTATCTTATAGTTGCTATGTACTTGTCATGTAAATAACAGCTATGTGCCAATACTTAACCGTAACAAGGTAAATAAAAAATTTTGCGCAATGTAACAATAGGAGGTATTATTGAAATTGAAAAAAATGGAATCGTAACAATTAATACTACCTCCATTTCTAAAGCTGTCAATTTCTAATGCAAACCTTTAAACCCGACTATTTCGAACCGATCCGAAAAAGAAATGAACAGTTAAATACCCGGTTTTTGAAAACCGAAAACCGATCCGGCCTAATTTTTTCAACCCGAAACTGAACTGAATCGAATTTGTAATCCCCGTATTTTTAAATAATTTATAAATGAAATTTTATTTTATTTATTTGTATTTTCTGGAATTTATTTTTTTAAAAAGTTTCAAATTATTATTTTGGGTGAAAATTTATTAGTACAAATAATTTTATGTACCTACATTCTACGATTGACTATTAAAATAAAAGTCCAATTTATTTCTATTAATTAAGTGGCCCGTTATTTTATTCTTGAGTTCCAATCTAATCTTACTTTACTTACCCTACAATTCATATTTTTTTTTAGGAAACTTACCCTATATATACCCCATTCATTCCCAAATTTTCCCACACAAAAAGGTTAGTTTTATTTTATTTCTCCTTTTATTTTCTTTTTCCTCTTTTTTTTTCCTTTCTTTGTTTTGCCTCTTCTTACGTGAGTTTCCACCCTCACTGCCACCTGCTTCTGTCAGTCACCCCTGCCCACCAAAAACCGACACCGACCACCGACAGTTCGCCCAGCCACTGTCGGCCACCTGTCGTGGCTCTTCCCATCTCCCTCTCCTCTTATTTTATCCTATTTCCTATTTTATACCCTTGTTTGTGATCCTTTTTTATTTTATTGTTTTAAGTATGATTAATTGATTATATAATCATGTTTATGATGTTTTAAACTTATAATTTCATATTATAATTATATTTTAAAATTTCAGATTTTATGAGTTTTAAAATCTAGGGTTTTAATTTATTAAAATTGGAATTTTAGGGTTCTTATGAGCAATTACATTGGGGCTTTGTACCTAGTGTATTTTTAATCATTAATTAAGCATAAAAACATGTTTTAAAGGAAGTTTTAAGGTGTCTTTAATCTAATTATATTGCTGGAAATTAGTTTGGGTATTAATTTATGATTGTTAGTTGTTTTCTAGGAGGTGATTATTCCCTAAGAGACTTTTAAGTGATTAAAGTGGCACAAAGGATTGTTTAAACGAGATACGTACACGTCTACTTCGTTGTACATAGTATCAAGGAAAGAACTTAGTTTCGTGTTTAGAGAACTCTTGGATGGAAATTGTTTAGTTAAACATTGAATTAATTCATGTATGACTTATGTTTATGAGACATGTTTTGGTGAATTGATTATGTTTGTATGGAATTATGGATGCAAGCATGTTGAATTGGATTATTAATTGTTTGTATGGAATGTTGATACAAGCATATTTTATTGGATTGGTTTGTTAAGCACATTTGGATTATTGAAGGGTTGGAATAGAATAGTTTAAGTGAAATGAATTTATTAATTATTCCATGAAGTTATTATTATTTTTATTATTACCCAAGTATGACTTGTTAGTATGTTGAGTAAAGGTGGATTAAGCTGAAATGGCTAGTTGGGTTGACTATGTTCAACAATTTTGGATTTTGGAATTTAAGGGAATTAAAGGTCAATTTGTGATGTGATTATCATTGTCCTAATTAAGATTAAAAGTAAATTTCTGTGAATGGTTGTTTATGGTTTAATTGAATGAGTTGACTATTAATTAAACTTGTAATCACATAAAGTGAAACATGGATGAGCAATAAAACTCTAGAAAGTGTGCACTTTTAGAGTATTGACAATTATGGGTTGAGGTACACGGTGGTAGCCTATGACTTTCCGAGGCTTGTTTGATCAACATGTCCTCTTTTGTTTTGGTATTTACAATTTTATTTTATAATGAGAGTTAGATGGGATCCTAGACTAACTTTGAGAATAGTCGCGTTCATTCTTACATCGCGTTATATTTTTTTTATTTTAAATGGTCATTTGGGACTAAAATGATTTGGTGGATTGGACAACCTCGTCTAATAAATGGTCATTTGGGACCAAAATGATTTGGTGGATTGGACAACCTCGTCTATTGCTTACTCCAATTAAATGAATTAAATTAAATATAAAGAGTCAAGTGATTGGGATTGGTTAGTAAATATGTTGAGTTGATTGAACTATTTAAGTGAGGAGTCTTGATTAATGAATTCGTGATGTATGTTTATTTATTTTAATTAGTTGAGCATGCTAGGTTGGTGCGTTGTAGCTTGTATGTACTCAGCTTTGCTGATTGCGTGCTTTTGTATGTTTTCTTTTGGTCATGGCCTTCGCCTTTCAATGAGCCTATGATGATCCAATTATTACACTTGTATTATTGAGGAGCAGTATTGCACAGGTTAGCTTGATGATGTGAAGTTCAGGGATTTGTTAAACGCATTGTCAAGGGATTAGTGTGATTGAGAGTATTTGTTTTTTGTGTTGAACTTATTTATGTTTACTATTCCGTTTATGTTTTGGGATTTGAATATTGGTTTGGTGTTAAATAAGGGCCTTATATGGTCTCAGTTTGTAAGCTCTGATTTATTGTTTTTCTAAACTATATTATTTTAAAGATTTAAGTTTGGTTTTTTCGTTGCGAAATTCTAATAAAGCCTTAACGCTTTAACACGTGGCGGTAACATGTAAATAATTTTCCTCTATTTTATTTAAAGTAAGTGGTTGGAAAAGGGAGAATTATTGGGGTTGTTACAAAATTTGTGCGAACCTTTACTAACCCAACCCGGTATCAAGCCAAATCGTTACAACCCGAACTGATTCGTCTAAACCCGATAGTAACCCAACCCATTTTAAACCAAAAACCGTTTAAACCCAGCAAATATCCGATAAACCTGAACCGTTTCAACTTGTAACCCGTTGTGACCGAACCGTCTATAACTCGTAACCCATTGTGATTGAACCGTTTTTAACCGTAACCTATTGAGACCGAACTGTTTACGACCCGTAACCCGTTGAGATCGAATGGTTTACAACTCATATCCTGTTATGACTGACCCGTTTACAACCTATAAGCAATATGTTTATGATCTGATCCATTTCAACCTATTACTCGATAATCCCAACTTATTTATGACATAACTTGATTATAACCTGACCCGTTTTGACTAACCATACTCGATAATGATCTGACTCGATTTTAACCCTATATGATTTAAACTGAAACCCACTTCAAATTGGGTAAACCCGTTTTCAAACCGACCAAGTTCAATCCAAATCGATTATGACCTGAACCGATAGAGATTTATAGTGTGTGATAGAGAAAAATGACAACTTAAATTACCCCAAAAAAAAAAAAAAAAGTTTGTTGCAAATAGTATGTCAATATTATGAAACATCCATTTTTTACAAATGTTGCAAAAAATATGAAATGTTGGTCTCGAATTTGATTTATTGTGATTTTTGATTCACGTCATCGTTGTTGACCTTTTTGTGTGAAATTTATATGTAAGAAACATGGAATCTTATTAGAAATTTAGAATTCACACAAATAAATAATACAGCAATATCTAGTTTTTATAATTTTTACTCGTTAAAAATTAATAATTGATGGCTAAAGTTGTGCGTTAGCAATAGTGACAAATAAAAAAGGGCAAATAAAAAAGAACAAAGGAACTACTTAGTATGTAGTAGGGGTGAGCAATAATTTTGGGCATCATGTTTTGGAACTTAAACCGGCTGAGACCCAACGGGTCCAAACCTAAAACCTGTCCCACTAGGTCCAAGTCAAGTTTTAAAACCAGGATCAGTACTGGTTCCAATCCTAGGTATAGAAATTTACCCGCTGGATACTCCAGATTAGAATTGGTTTTGATTGAACTTATATAACTTATAGATTAGGTCCAACATGATAGGATAAAAAAAATTAATTATTTTTGTTAGCCTTTACAATAATTCAATTTACAATCCCCTTTTCTCCACTCCATGCTTCCCTTGTCTACATCTCCTTCTCTTTCAATTCACAAAATATCTCTTCAATTTCATCAAGCAATAAATCCCAGAAGTTATTTTCTAGCTTTAGCATTAGGGTTTTCAGATTTCCCCCGCAGATCTTCAAACAATGTTGATCAAAACAACAACAACAACAACATAAACAAAAACAACAACAATAAGAACGACAATAACAATAAGAATGATAATAGTAATAATATTTGCAAAGGGGATCCATGGCATTTATGAAAAAAAAAAAGAAGTAGTTGTAGACACCAAAATGTGTCTCTCCAATATTAAGTCTGATATGAAGCGTATATTGCCACCTAATTTGGTCCTGGTTGTGCAATAGATCTAAAAATTACTTGAATATTCTCTCTAGCCCATTTCTAAATCATTTTAGCATTTCATTAGCATAAACCCTAACCCACTATCCTTTTCTCTAACCTTAGCCTAAAATCAAGCTAAGCTTATTTCCAAGCCTTGGAATTTTTATATGAAAATTATATAGATGGATACCCCTTGAAATCAACTTTGACTTCCAATGATATATTATAAGCTCAATTTCAATTTGAAATGAAAGAGATATGATCAAAATACTAATAAACCAAGCCCAAAATTGACACTCTTGCACTACTTTGGCCATATATTAAAATCTACAAATAATAGTGACCTAATTATGATTGGGTCATAAAGAAGACATCTAGATCTTTCCAATAATTTGTCCAGCAAACTTGAGCGACATGCGCAAGTTTGTGGAGGAAGTAGTAATGGAGGTTAGTTATGTATGATCAAGTACATAACTGAGAGTGTATTTAGTACCACTGAAAGCGTTTATAGTATCACTGAATGAATTTAGTATCGTTATTAGCAAATACATAACAATACTAAAATATGATAAAAGTACATAGAAGAGAGATAAAAAATGTGTTGTAGGACCCATTACACGTAAAAAGAGAGAAAATAGTGATGGGACCACTGATAAGTCTATTTTATATATATATTTATTCCCCGTCCCAATGGTCATAATTGTATTTATTTGAGCTCTACGGAGCTATTTTTATTACTAATATACATTTTCTAGTGTTTTTGTAGAGTTAGTATTATTTTGTAGTAATTTGCAGATTTACGATAATTCCCGAGCTTATTGAGCCACTACAAAGATATTGGAGTTTGATCGTATTTTATGACCGTATATTTGAAGCCCAAGACCGCGCTAGATAAATTTAGTTTGGTGAATAAGGGCTCGATTAGAGAAGAGAATGGGTCACATTATTATCATGGATCAATTAAGTGCCGCGGACCAAGTATGAAAGAAAGAAGAAGTGGGCCCAAAGCAAAAGAAGGCAAGGCCCAGCTCGTAGCATTGCTGACCGGGCCCGATCTTGCAGCCCAATGCCCGATCGGGTGGGAGAAGTCCAAGCACTGTTAAATTGCTAATTAATGTCGGCTACTCTTTTTTTAGTGGGTTGGGTAGTATTACTAGTATATAAATTAAAGCCTATTAGTAGGCTGACATTAAGAAGGTTAGATTGATTCTATTAGTTCTTAGTTTTGCTTTCCGCAGCTTTTTTTAGATCTTTTTATTATTCTTTTATTTAGTTTTAGTTTTCATGCAACAATTAACTTTAACTTTTATTGTTTTACGATTTTCGTTATTTAGCTTTCATTATTTTAGCATCCAGTATTCTTAGTTTTGTTATTTTCATTCGATCTTGTTTTAGTTTTAATTATTATTATTGTTTTTATATTATACTTTATTTAATTGTTTTGATTAGTTTAGATTTAAATATGTGTGACTAGTTTTATTTCTAGGGTTGTAGGGATCCATAAATAATATGAAGGGGTAATTTATTATTGTTGATTGTTAATGTTTTAGATTAATTTCCTATTGATTGATATAATGCTATGCAATTAGATTTGCGCAGGTTTAATTGTATGAGTTATGCAATATTGATTCGAGATTCGAGAGATGAGAATTGATGTTTAGGCTTAGTTTCAATAGGCAGGTTAATTTATAAATGGTTAAGTCAAGATTTGAGAGATGCGATTTAATACCGGTAGATTAATTCTGTGATTATAATACGTAGCGAAAGCCCTTTATGATCTGATTAATTGAGTGCATTGATAATTTATTGTTGTGTTTTACCCTGGAATATTATTTATTAGTAAA